AAAAAGTTGGCATATAGTTACCGCTCTACTGTATATTAGATGTCGATTGGTTCACTATTATGGGTGTGTTAAATTTGAATTCAATGATATATCATTGTGTACGAAAAACGATTTTGAATGGAAAAGGTTTGTCAGCCTATAACACTAAGTATATTTGACGATATGCTTTTTTGTATGTAGCTAAAATGTATATAATACATACTTATACTATATTGACATATAATTTAGTGATATTAACTTTTGAGTCAATATTCAATATTTTGCTGTAAAATGGTGTGAATTATTTCATGGTATAAATTATAATATATAGGTAATAACTTAAAATTGATTTACATTGTTTTTAAATTGTATTTAATTTTTATTAATTAATAATGTACGTAATTTTTTTAAGATAGCTGTGATTAAAAACTAAAACTAATTATTTTAATAATACTACTGAATTTATGTTAAAATTCCTCTTTTTCTTTAATTTTTCGTTTTTTTTTTTCTATGAAAAAAAAAGTATTAGAAACTTTTAATTTTTACATCTTTAAAGTAAAAATTAGATTCAATTAGCTTAGTAAGAACTACATATTATTTTATTTAATGCCCATATTGTAATAAGTGTTTAAACATTTTAAAATAATATTAGGTATACTATATCACTATTATATAGGTAATAACGTTATGTTTTTAGCAACATATCTACACATAAAATAAAGTATATTTGTAAGGACTAAGGTGTTATAGTTTTTGATAACAATTATAAATTTAACACTGAATGTTCTTTAATGTATGTTGTAATTTTGCATTTCATTTTGTAACGTCGGGAGTACTTAACTTGTATATACGTATATGTACTATATTGTATTGTTTGCTTTTTGTCTAGACACTGTTTTGAGGGTGATAAATGTTCTCTAATTCTTTCACGTGGTGAGTCCATTAATCGAAAATTAGATGTAGATTGCACTTCGAGTTTTTAAAAATGGCAAAACTCCCATTATTTTTCGAAACAACCGACAGTTTTATCGGTTGGCGTTTCCGGTCCTTGCGGTACACCGAGTACGCGGTTTACTAGCAGGATTCTTTTCTACATACACTCGTACAAAACTTTCAAGCGTTATTGACAACGATTTAAGCGTATTCGTAGTTCAAAATATAAATTGTTAAACGGTTGTGTGTATTTTTCAAATAACATCATTATAGAGACACATACGTAATATCAACGAGACCAAAATAATAAAAGTAAAATCGTGATCCACAGAATTTTTATCTGGAATTTAGGTTGGATGCTTAATAGATAGAGTTATTAACAAAATGCTGCGATACGACTTATATGATACACAATGAAAAAATTTTACTATTACTATTTATTACTATTAATTATCTTTATCAATTACTGTCGTAGGACTCTCATGTGTGTGTGATGTAAATGTTAAAGCAATAATTTATAAATTATTATCCACGCCTGCATTCATTCATTTCGATGTTTTTTTTTTACTCCTAAAACATAGTTTTACAGTTTTAATTTTGATCATTCAGGGATGTGTATTAAGTCCAAAACACAATTTTTGCTCCAGTTGATCCTCGGGGAACTTGTAAGCGTTGACGGTTAGATACACCAAAATTGTACGTGTCTTCACATAAAATGCCATCCGTTAATCAAAAAGTTTCAATTCTTTTTCCTGTCTTGTTTGTTTTTAAAAATCTACGGTTTCACATTCAATCAAAAGAAGTGATATTTATTCCCTAGATAATTTATTTCAGAGTAAAATTCAATCGTCATCATTATAAATGTGTATTCTTTAAAACGTACACGTAAACAGTATTTTAATTCAAAATCTGTTTGAAGTATTTTAATCATAAACGGCCAGTTTTAATTTTAATTTCGAGTTAACACGAAATCTTCAATAAAAAATTCAACAACATTTTGTAGAAACCTATTTAATTTTCTACAAATATTTAAGCTTACGGTTTTATAGATTTACGATGTGATCAATTTTAAAATAACAATTCATCTTCTATGCGTATAATAATATACTTACGCATATATTAATTATTGTATGTTAATTTTTGAACCGAATGGGCAGACAGTACATATATATGCATTTCGTACGTCGTTATACACGTGTCTGAATATTGTTTTAACATAGTATGGTAAATTGAGACCTTAGCTAAAATATAATCTATAGTCTTCTATAATAATTGTATAACCACTAACAATATCATAACTCATAAATATATAATATAATACCAGATTAATCACTTTGTCAGTGATATATTATTTTATGATCAATGATATCATGAATAAATATTAATTATAAGTAAGTACCGGATTAATGTGCACAAATAATCCACAAAAAATGCTTCTAAAAACGTTGTAATATGCTAAAAATATGTATTTATTATTAAATATGCACTAAAAATCGAATCGAAAATATTTTAATTAAAATTATATAAAAAATAAATATTAATTTAAGTATTAAAAAAGGTATAAAAAGTATTATTGTTATCTTTGAAATTTAACGTTATTTATCTACGTATTAATACGCACATTAATAAAAGATTAAAACAAAAACTGATCTATATTAATATATTATTATACATAATATGTTGCATATAAGTAAATATGTCATCTTATTTTTGGCATTTAAGACTGGTTGTAATTTCATCGATATTATATAGTTGTGAACGTGAAAATATGACGAAAAACAAATTTATGTGCTATAAATAACAATTTGCACTATGACATTTCTAATATGATTTAAATATGCATTTAATAGGTAAAATCGTTAAAATATGCAAAATATTTAAAATACAATAAATGTGATTTTAATGAAAATAATTTAAATCGGAGATGATTCTCATCAGTTTTTAAAAACCTTATTCCAATACATATATGTATTTGTATATAAATCTGATTCCTAATTATAAGTATTTTCTTTTTAAATTGTAACTATTAATAATTGTTGATTTTTCTTCGTGTTGTTTTTTATTTGATTATGAAATAATTAATATTGAAGTGAAACATTTTCTATTTTATGGAAAAACAAAACAATTATAGTATTCTGTACGAATGCGGAACAAAATTTTTTTGTTTGTTTAATAAGTATTCATTTTTTCGGATAAATATTTAAATTAAAAATCTACTAATCTATTATTATACTTTAGCATTCCAATATAAGTTTTGATTTTTCAGCATAATATCAATTTTATTTTATTATTTTTTTTTTTTTTTTTTTTGAGAAAGGGTACATCTTAAGATGTTAAATAACATAAAGACTTTTTAAAAATGTATAAACTAAGCATTTATCAATATCAATGAAAGTAGAAATATCGACGTAAGATGATTTCCATACAGTATTGTTATTTTATATTTTTGACCAATAAGTCAAAACAAAGTCAGGTAAGATTAATAAATTAATGATTTTTTTTTGCCTTGTGATTGTTTTTTTGAAAATTTGGTAAAATTGTAAAATTTCTGTTTATTAAAAAAATAATGGCTAATGGGTATCATGAAAAATGCACGTGGGCTTGCATTTTTTTTTTTTTTTAATTGTTTTATGATTACTTCTATTTGAGAAAATAATATATTTAAAGCTTTTTTTCTTTAATTAATTTTATTTTTAATAAATCGTTTTAATTTTTTTTTTTTTTTTTAATATCATACTATATTTTATTGTTCTATTAGAATATTTTACCTAATATTCATTCAAATAATTAATAAATAGGTTGGAGTTATTGATTATATGAAATTAAAATTTAGGTGATGTGTAGTTTATACATAATGATGCAGAGTAATAATATACATGTTATATAAATATGCATACATGATAAATAGCGGACGTCAAGTACCTATATATCCTGTTTTGTTATAACATTAAATAACAAGTGATTTTTTTAAAATAAGTAGAATAAATGAAAAATACATTTTTCATTTTCCTTAAGATGGTGTATTTTTTGTGTAAAATATCAATTCATTTCAGACTAATACATCATATTTATTACGAAAGAGTATAAAATAAAAATAGTTTGGTAAATTACTTAGGCAGTATTTGTTTTTCAACTGGATAAATAAGCACATAAATTACTAAGACCTCTTTGATAATTAATATGTTTTATCTTTTCAATATTTCCAATCCTTAAAGACATTTAATTAAACTACTTTTACTCAAAAATGTGTTTTTCTTAACCGACGTGCGACGATACTAAAACACACACACCAAAGCAAATAAATAATAACCAAGACTGTTTTTAGTCTCGCACAATTTCATAATAAATCTGGTTTATATGAATTATGACCTTGTATTTTATTATTTTTACTTATGATTTTTCTTTAGAAAAACTTCATTCATTATATTACCAATTTTTAGTCATTTAAATTTAAAAATTAATTAAACATTTTAAAAACAAAAAAAAAAAAAAAAAATGAAAATTTTTTTTAAAAATTCAAATAAAAGTGTCAATTACATATCATAATATCGCGGTCTTGTTATTCTAGATGTTTGAGATGCGGTTTTTATCATCGCAAAAATAAATAAATAATGATTATAGAAATATTAATCATTGAATAGCGTAAGATAAAAACATACATTTTACGGTCATAAGTCGTAACTGAAAATCGTAATACGCGTTTCTATATCGAAGAGATCAATATACATTTATTGGCTTGTACGAATTGTCCGACTATCTCGCAACGTAGTATGGCTTATATTGGTTTCACATAAAAATTAGAATTGTATAACGTTTATTATAATATTTTGATTGTTGGAGTAAAAGTTTCTTTTTTTATGTAATATCTAATTATTTACACGGTGGCGTATACATTCGAATTATTTAGTAGTACGGATGGCGTAGTTTGAAACGTCGTAAGACGCGTGTTTTGCATGCATAGTCACGATGTATTATTGTGTGTAAAGCCGTACCAGACTTAGACGTTTGCGCGTTCCGAAATCGGCGCAACCAGTACCGATGTTGATAAATATATTGTATATCGAACCGAAAACATGTTATTGTTTTAGGCGGTTACAGCCCAGCAAAAACAACAACAAACGGCGTGATCAACAGACGCAGTTACCCGACGCGGTGTCCGCTGGCGCCAGCGACTCGAGGAACTTCCGGTTGAAGACGCTCAGACTTCAGCTGAACATGAACCCGTCGACATTGAATTTGAGGTACATTCGCATACACATAGAGTCGAGTTTGCGTGCGGTCGCAGATCGTCTACCTAACCGTTCGCTCGTCTGAGAATAATAGGTTTACACCTCGTAAAAACGTATACCGTCACGGTGGTTGTCTACACATTTTTAACGTACTGCGGCCAGACCACCAATAATAACAATGATCGATATTATTGAATACATCACTTGAGCACGCTGCATTAATGTACTCGCGTATGTGAAAAAAGCGATCGGTTTTTTTCTTCTCGATATTTTCTATTTTTATTTATTTTCTTTTACCGACCACCGATGTTGCCGGCTACCTTGTATGCGTACCCTTTGTCGGGAGAACGCATAAAATGTATAATAGATATCCTGATCTAGGCGAACGAAAGCTCACGTCCCGTCTCCGTCGGCGGTCGGTTTATGGATTTGTGCGTACTTTGCACCCGGTGAACGGAAAACTACCCCATTGTGAACATGCCGTGTACACCGGATCAATCCACCTAAGGAAACGGCCATCCCTTTTCCGCCACGCGCGATGAATGGAAAACATTGAATATTGACGGACTGGATCAGGTTTTTACCCTTTCTACCTTTGTTGCTATAGTATAGGCTCTGAACCTCGTGGATTACGACATACCTACACAGAACGCGTAATAATAGGCGCGGAAAAAATATATTGCCCAAACGCATTAGCATAAAACTGTACGCGAATTGATGTATTTGATTACGCGTTAAATTATTTAACTTAAATCATACAATTAACAAAAAAAAAATAAAAAAAAAAATAGAGTATCATCTGAAAAGTGGGGAAAAGCTCGCAACACGAATTTCTTTTTTTGTTATTATGGCTGACTTAATTTTTATACTCTTTAATCAATTCGGCTCTACCAGTCGACTGCGGTTTTATAACCATCGTCGTGGGATGACCGTATTCGTTCTTTTCATTCGTTTTAGGGAATATTAACGAACTTTAATTAAACTAATTGGTAACTACTCTAATTATTATTTCAATGGCGTTATAAGTTAGTCCATAGTTTATTTTAGATACGTTTCTGAACTGAAATTAAATACTAGTTTCAAATACGTTCTGTTTAACATATTTTATAAAAAACAATAGAATTAACATAAAATTATATGATAAATAAAGCTAGTGCATAAAAAATAATTTTATTATTATTATTTATTAATAGAAAATACTACAAACACTAGGAAAATAATTATTTTTTGTCTACCCTACATAAACATTTAATCTAGATATAAGTTTTGAAAGCTGTGCCCCATTGTGGGTATATTGAAGATTATGGAATAATCTTAATTTTATAAAATGTCTTATCTCGATAAAATGTCTGGTGTTATTAATAATACGCGAAATTAAAATTAATTAAACAATTGAGCTATTTATGATGTGGTTTTTTTCTTCTGTATTAAACCTTGAAAATGCCTTTTAAATGTATTATATTAGAACAGTTGATTGTTATTAATTAAATTATAACTATTATTTAGTACAATATATCAAAACATAAATTACGTTTAAAATTTATAATTATATGTTCATTGTAGGCAAAGATTTAATTTTTAATTTATTTTATTAACGTAACAAGTAAAAATACAGATTTAAGTAAACTTTTTTTTCTTGAAATTTTACTAAAATTTAAAACTGACCAATTTCCAATTTATAAAAATTATGCAAAAACATTTTGAGTTTTGTATCATCTTAAAAAGTATTTTCTGAAAAATCGTAATCGTATATTATTGTATGATCAACAGCACAATATTGCATCAGAATATGAAAGTTATTATTTATGAATTGATGAAAAATGTATCAATCAGGATATTTCAAATATATCTAACATTATGTATCTTCTCATTTCTGACATAAATATAATATATATTATATTTATTCTATCTAAAAGTTTCCATTAGAGCTGTATCTTTAAAGATTTAAATTGAAAATAGAGATGGTTTAAACTTGTTCTATTTTTCACTATATAAGTATATTAGTCAGTCTTTTTTCTCTTTAAATTGTGCGTAATATGTGAACACTTTTTCGGTTTGTAGAAATATTTTAAAAGTTTTATGGAACAATTTATTTAATTAGAAAAATTGATTTATCGAGTACTTTGGTACATCAGTTAATGCATTACTTTAAAAATTGGATTAATATTATGTTGTTCATTTTATAAAATAATGTTAATTCCATACTATAAAAATGAAAGATAAGAATATTACCTTAGTTACCTCACTGGCTCTTATCGATATTATTATTTTATTGTGAGTTATAGGTATTTTAAAATTGTTATACTTTACTGCAATTATTGACTTTAAAATTTCAATTATAATAACATTTTATAAGTATATTAAAAAATGCTATGGAAAATATTCTTATTTTTAATAATTTCGTCATAGGTAAATTCGCTCTCATATTAAGACTAACTTACATTACAAGATTTGATTTACTGAACACAAATCGTGACAATGTAAGCTAAAGAAAGATGGTAAATAATTGTCAGCGTATTTAAGCTAGAGTTATGTTAAGAAACTAAAATTGTACACAATAAATTACGTTTATTGTTTAGTTAATATCAATAGTCGCAACATCATTTGTTTTTATCAAAAATACATAATAAAGGTATTGTTGTTTTAAAATCGGTTTTTTAAATTTTTTATAACTTTAATAAATTTTATACCTATTAATAATACGAGTATTGTATATATATATTAAAAAAAAAATATATGTCGTCAAAGCAAACAGTATTTTCTTTTATATCGTTTATAAATTTGATTTATCAACTATGTCTATTACATAATTTGAGTGAATCCTCGACAAACAAAATAATTTTCACGAACAGTTTATGCGCCAACTTAATATATATATATAGTATTAATCAATGCTAGGATATAAAGATATACATTTTAAATATATCATGATATTCAAATAATACTCAATTTTTTTCTCCATTATAAGTAAGTTAAAAAAAAAAATCTTTACAAACTTAGAATTTTTACAACTGTTTAAAAATACAAAATTTTAAATTTATTTTAATTGTAGAATAATCACATTTATTTATACTGGAAAGTATTTTTAATCTCAGACTTGACTTGAATTTTAAATAAAATAACGTTTTGAGAATAATTATTATCACAATATATTTTTAATGTATATTTTTACACATTTCTCTAATATTATAAGAAAATTACGATTTTAAACACTTTTTAAATTTGATATATTATATACCTATCATAATATTAATAATTCAATTTAGATCCATTTTTTTTATGAATGATTAAAATATTACTGTTTGAAAATTTTTAAATATTTAAAAAGTGCTCGTCACTTACGATCTCTATATTATGTACCTACAACTTTTTTTTATTATCATTATTATTAGAATAATATTTTTTTTCATATTATCTTTCTTCGTTATGAGTATTATGCAGTTTACGATAGTATGTTGAGTAATACGATTATGATACCGTATCGGCTAAAATAACACGTCCTTGATCTTAGTTTACACACAAAAAATGTATACGTAACCTATTCAAGCATAAAGTGCTTACCTAATTGTTGTTATTAGTTATTTTATCCTGTATTATTTGGAAAATATCCAGCGACCAATATATTATATAAAAGGCCATTTAATAACCTTAACCATATTATAGCCATACATATTACAATATATTTAATATATATATACATATATATATCATGATACAATGAATGTAATATAATATTAAAATTTAGGTATAACTACCTCCGACATTTTACAATCGTGAATCATTAGAAAATAATATGGTAGCTATAATAGTATTAGTACCGCTTTGGTATTCATTATTTTCTTAATAATAACTATTGGATACATACAATTTTATAGTAGCTTTATGTGCAGTGCTTATACTTGAGAGATTAGTTTTCAATGACTTAATTTTAGAGTCTACTAATAATGGTTATAAGAGGAATTATTTTTATAACATTATTATTATAATATTACATACAGATACTTTGATTTAGTTAATTACTTTATTAAACGGATTTTAATCAATTTATCTTGTGTATGTAAATAATATTTTAATCTATAAAAATTATTGTGATTTATTAAGGATAATATATTATAATATGTTAAATAAATTAATATATTCGTAGTGAGTAATGACTTAAAACTATTGTTTCGAGGTTTATATTATATATTATATACATATTATGTCCGTATAATAATTGAATTACAAATGACAAAACCGTTTATTCGGTTGACAAGTATATATTATTATATTCATATCATCTCAATTGGTTCAATTTTAAACTATGTCCTAAACATAAAATGTGTATGATGTTGTGTTGAATTTAAAAAAAATGGTTAAACGCTGTAATAGAAATAATAGAATAAATGATTTTAGTTATTTAGTGTATTATTTATATTAAATCAAAAAATTGAATTTTTATGTTCCACGATAAAAATTGATGAAATAGTATTTCTAAATATAATTAATTTACTTAGTACATTATGTACAGTATACTGCATATACCTAAAATTTAAAAATTCTACTAAATAAATAATATTTATAATTGCAAAAAATATTGTTTTCAAGTAGCTTTTTGTTGTGTATAGGAAAATATTATATAAATTATTTTTAATACAAATAAAGAACATAACCTTTTTGGGGTACCTAAAAATTAAAAAAAAAAATGATACAGATTTTAGATATATTATGGAAAATGTATAGTTTTTATGTAGTTAATGCACATTATGATCAAATGTGTGTACAGATATTTTAAATGTGCATTATTTTAAAATAGTTATTCCCACTTAATCATGCAACTTTTACGATAGTCCATGAAATATATAAAAAGGTATAAAAGGACTTTTAAAGTTATCTTCAGCGTAGATACATACCTATTTATATATAAATATATGTATACCTGTATATTATACAATTCATATATTAATTTAAAAATGAATTATTAAAATACAATTAATAATATTATAACATATTATATTGGTATGTGCGTAAATAAAAACTTTTATGTTCATGATATTTTTTTTATTATTATTATTTATGTTAAAAATAATGTTTAACAGTTACTTGAAAAAAAAAAACTAATATATTCTCTATAATAATTAATTAAAAACCCGTATTTACAGATTTCTTGCCAACAGACAGAAGCGCCAAAGTCTAGCTGCCGCCAACGCCGTTAGAACCGAACAAAAGGCCAGTAAAGTATTAGGAGTAGTGTTCTTCACGTTTGTATTATGCTGGTCACCATTTTTCTTGTTAAACATTGTATTTGCTGTCTGCCCAAAAGAAGACTGTCCAGTGCCCGACCATGTGACCGAGATATGCTTGTGGTTGGGATACGTGTCTTCAACGATAAACCCAATCATCTACACGATATTTAACAAGACGTTTAGAGCGGCATTTATCAGGTGATTTGAAATCTAACAAATGGTCTAAAATATTAACATTACAGGTACATATTGTTGGCGTCTAAGTGTACCGATTTCGTTGAGTAGGTATACTGTGTTGTTACGATATTACTTTATATACTCGTATAATACAATTTATTGTCTTACAGACTTAGTGCTCCAATTTCGTATAATATTACAAACTATAATAATGATACTAAAAAGATGTGTTCAAAAAATTTTTGTTGAAAAAATATTGTCGACAATTATTAATTAAAACCGTAGTGGATTGAGGTAGGTTTCATTCCAACAGATTATTGAAACGGGTTGGTCTAGAATATTGCGGTACTGTAATTAAATTTACGATCGACTGAGTGTTCTCAGAACTTTCCAATTAAAAAAACTAACGTAATATAAATAAAGTTTCCTTTGTGTTTCGAAAACAGTGTAATGCTCTCGCCAGATTTGTCCGACAAAATGTGACAAATGATTAAATTGTCGCTAAATATTATTTGACACGATCGATTAGAAGGGTACATTTCAAAAAACCTCTGAGGATATTTTCATTGAAAAAACCTTTTTTTTTTCAAAAGTTACATCCAAAGTCAAACTATTGTGGTCTTACGTAAGGATAATTTGAAGTTTATTATCTTGCTTTAGTGGCTGCAGTTGATAACTCGTGAATTATCGCATCACCACACGACTCACCTTGACTCATCTAATCCACACAAAAATGAAAAAAAAAAAACTATTTCAATCCCACGTTCGCTGATATTGTTTACGAGGCGTTTTACACAACAACAAATCTTGTTGCGAAATATGAAATTTAAATACAAAACATATACATAATTGCTATAAAAATTATAAAACGCTTAAAAAAAAAAACTCCAATACTAGGTAAAATGTGCGGATACATTGTTATATAATTACTATAAAAACAATGGCGTGTTATAATAATAAAACAATGTTAAAATGATAATGATGAAACAAATTACACTCGAGGTATTTGCGGTGTGCATTATGATTGTAGGTTTAACGGATTGGGGTACCTGAATTTTTGTTTTAACTGTAACCAGGGAAAGTTTCGACAAATATAGCTCAAATAATGCTATGTTTTTGTTTATACATTTATCATAACTCATAATTAGCATTAAATATTATACAGTGTTTCTAAAGACACTTAAGTACGTATTAAATAGTAATCCTGAGTGGTTTAGTGTGTTTAGTGGTCTAAAACAATTAAATTTGACACATTTCGTATCTTTTAAAGTCTTAAGAAGATATCTATATATTTTTAGGTATGTGTGAATGACTATAATACATTCATAATTCTTTACAAAGGCACAGTTGAATATTAACTAGTAAAATGATAGAAGTCCAGTTATAAATTAAATTTATAATTTAACTATTTTAAGTTTCAATTATTATATTAATTTAGATTTATCCAGTATATTCGAATAATTATATATCGATTTAAAATCATGTTTCTACATAATATCTACAACTATAATAAGGCTAATTTATTATTACTATTTGTTTAATAACACTGCCTTTCAAATAAAAACATAATTACTTCTAAATTCCTTAATTTAAAATTATATTTGTCACTTTAACGTGCAATAGCCCAAACAATAATTATAATATGTGGACAATAAAAAAGAATCATCAGCGCATTTTTAACAAAATATTTAGTTATTATTTAAAAATTTCCAATTTCAATTAATTAAAAATGAATTATGAAGTTGACTTGTTAAACTGTTCTGAAAAATAATTTCAATCTTTTAAAATTAAATATACATATTATGTTAGCTATTACCTTATATATTAACGTTCTTAATGTTTATCTAATTGAAATAACTTGAGTTAATCATTTTAGGTCTCTATATATAAATTTAGAACACCTTATTTTCCCGTTATATCCGGCCGTTAATTACCTATACATAGTTTGTCAATATTGTTGATTATTATTGGTTATAATTTATCAACAATATATTTTCTTGTCTATAATAGGGTTATTATACGAATCCAAATTAGTAATTTCCATTTTAATATTGGTATTCATGATTGAAAAAAAAAACAAAACAAAACTAGAAATACGTTTGACTTTTCTGAATAATATAAATGTTTTAATACTACAATAGAATTAATAAATGATTTTTTAACGATTTTGTTCAAAGCGTATTCATACTCTAAAGCCAATATTAAAAAATAAATATCAAAATGGTGAAATACAAAGGTTGTAAAATTCTTTTTAAATTATATACATTACGGAGTTATGATTTATTGCATTGTATTAAAACACGTTGTATATATTATAATTTATAAGAAACAACTGTGAAATTAGCACCAGGGTTTTCCAACATTTTTTTTTTTCGCAAAATAACAAAATCGTTATTTTATTATTATTGTACAGCGTCGAGTCGACGGCGCTTGACCGAAGTCGGGTCTGTCCGATTCTGATCGATTTCTCATATTTCTATCACGACCCCCCACCCTCTGTTTCAGGTTGCTCAAGTGCCGATGTCACAAGACCAGACCTCACCGATACCGATCAGTGACGGACAACCGACACTCCGCTTTGATAAGCACCCCGTCCGGCGCGGCCGCCGGAGCCGCTACTGTGCCGCTGTCCCTATCGCTTCAGACCACGCCACTGACCACGTCGCCGCCCGTCAACGACGGCGCCGCCACCACCACTTTTGCCGCCACAGCCGCCGCCGCCGTTGCCGCGTCTAAGAAATCGCCGTCCGCGTCCAAGTACCCAAACTCGTTTCGCGTCCAAGAATGCCGCCCGAAGGACACGGCCAAATACTGAAACCCAGCGGCGGCCGATTCCGCCCCGAAGATGTCGTCTAGAACCCCAAAAAACTAAACGAGCGCCTCAATATTATCGTCACGTTATCATGATGACACGACGATAATAATATATTTAGATCTCATGACGTCGTCGTTATACGTCCAGTCAGACCGAGTTGTTCGCGTGCGACGCATAATATTGCAACTTCTTGTTTTATAAAGGGCGCGTGATATAAGGATTTTACTGGTGTGATATTCACTTACTACAGTAAAATATTATTTTAGAATTTTTCTTGTAATCGATATTTCAATTTTCTTTTTTTTTTTTCAATTTAATTCATTAATAACAAAAAAATAAAAGTCGTTTTATTGATCAGAACAAAAGCGTATCACGTACAGTTGGTTAACATTACATTTCTCAGTTGATTACCTACTGTAATTATTATTGTTGCCCGCAGCTGTATATGAATGCACGGAGCGTTACTCCTGGATTCAGTTTCCTGTTGAAATCATGGTAATATGTAAAACTAGTTATTATACATTATATTATTATTATTATTATTATTATTATTATTATTATTATTATCATCATCATCGTCGTATTAATAGAGACATATCACAATATGCGTCTACTCTTCATTTTTTCATCATTGCCCACTTCACTCGCTCCTCGACTATGCTCTCACTCTCCCGAGGGCACCTATACACTCATAATATATTATATGTTTCTCTGTACGGTGTAAATTGGGGATTCATTCGCGCGCGGGAAATATGAACGACCTCCGACGATGGAGAGGGTCAATCAATCTTTATGAATACCCTGCCCGTAAGAAAAACGAACACGTACAGTAGACCGAGAGGTAATATTATATGAAATATCGCACCTTTCGGGTGGATGAAAAAAATAAAATAAAATAATAAGAACGCATTGCGGTTTCGGTCGTTAAATTGATGAGCACTGGGCCTAAAAATCCGAGTATAGGATATCGGTTTAACGAGTTTTGGCGGATAGGTGGGAGAAACAAGAGCTCGACGAATTCTTCTCATAAATAACTATTATATTAATATTATTATTATTATTACATACATGTGAAAAATATTATATCAGTGTGTTTTTCATTTTTATTTTCGTTATTATGTCAAATCTATAATATTTCATAGGTGGAAAATAATATAAATAGCTACTAAGTATTAGGTATATTAGGTACACGTTAAGAATATTTTAGCACAATTTTGGGGGTATACCAAAACTTAAAATGTTAATAATAATATTATTGCTTTTTTTATATTTTTAATAAAGTATAACGGTAGTAGTAATTGTTATTTAAACACCGATGTTTGTCAAACTGATTTACAGATAAAATGGATAGTCAATAAGAAGTTAAAAGTAGTTATTCAATAGACAAATAATGATATAATAGTGCTTTTAGAAATAATTATCGATTAGTTATTATTGTTCATTTATTATTATGATTATTGTCGTTGTTGTTTTTTTTTTTAAATATACCAGTGTATTAAATGTCTTAAGTTACGTTCAAATTAATTTAAACTTATTATTCGAACATTTGTATTATATAATGTGTGCGTGAAAAAGTAGTTATTTATTTTTTGTTAATGTACAATATATTGTAGTTAAGTAGTATTCATGTAAGTGTTATTATCAAAAAAAAAAAAACAAATATAAATGGTATTTTTGACGTTAATGTAATTTAAGATTTATTCTGTTTCAAATTTTAAAAAATTATTCGTAAATTATATAATCATAACAGGTATAAAAGTGTTCATTGGTATTTCTCATGAAAGTTGAAGAATAAATAACATTATAAAAACATAATTGGCGTGATAATAGTCTATTTAATATAATCAAACCTTTAAACCTGTAAAAAAAAATATATATTTTATTTATTAATTTACAATTTTTAAATAAATAATAGAAGGTAATAAATAATAATACATGACATTCTTATTATTATTATTATTATTATTTTTTTTTTTTGCAATTGATGCAGTTATTCTAGGTATGTACTCTATTATCGATATTTTAAACTTTTATAAATATAATTTTTATTTAAACCGTTTTCCTTATTGCCTTTACACACCAAGATTAGTTTTGGTTTAAACCTTGCACACGTGTTGGGACTCAGAGAGTTTATGTACAGCATTAATATAAATTTATTGTATTTTACTGTCTTAGTAAATTCTTTAGAAAATCACTGTTGTTTCTATGAATAATTTAAATCGTTTTATTCGAACATCAGCGAATTTTAACGGATTAAATTTATTATTTAATATTTCATCGAATTTAGAGTGTGGACATTTCAATAAGTTGTAAAGTTTATAGTTAGAATAAGTCTCATTTTCGAGTTATGATTTTCTACTTTAAGTCTCAACTTTTTGGCTTAGAGATGAACTATATTAAATATATAGTTTGAAAATTATTTTTTATGCAATTCACGATAGAGTAGGCTCCCGAGAAGTCTAATGACGTAAATACGCGAAATTATGGTTTAATAATGCTTCACGTGACTATTAAATCTTGATTTTTTATGCAAAATTTATAAATTCCACATCACGAGCAAAATGTTAACGTTATTTATTTTGTCCACGCGATTCAATCGAATAGTGTAATTTTTCTTTTTTATTATTGATTTTATACCTTTTGAAATGGGCTTAATGTTTTGCTGTACGATTTTCATTTCAAAACCTTATTATAATATTGTAATCATTAAATAATATTTTTATTATAAGATATATATTTTATTATATTATAAAATAGTGTACAATATCGGTCAAATATACTTATTAACGAAGCTTGAATTTAATGGTAGCTTCAATGACACTGGATCACTTGTAGTACAATGTTATGTAACTGGTATTTGCTGTATGTAGGTATACACACTGTTTTAATTAAACGCCACACATGAGTGGTATAAAAACTACGTCTTGTCAATCAAATTATATTTCTGTGGGTTTTCAAATAAATGTATATATATATATATATATATATATATTACTAGAACGATTTGATTATCTTTAACGAATTTTGTTGACACGCCACTAGTACAAGCTACAAGACCGCTTCATAACACGAGCTGTTTTATTTATTTTTGAAATTGGTGCTCCAAAACCTGTCGTGTTATTCTCATCACTTTAATCAAGCAGGTTTTCTATTATGTTTTTTTTTTCGTGACTATTGTTATTAATTCCTTTATAATAATTGTGATTTTTAACAATACTATAATTTTATATCACATATTTTATTTTTTTTCCGTACGAACTCCTATATTACCATATAATAATATTACAAATTAGTGGTTAAAGGTCGGTTTAAGTCTCAAAAAAATATATTTTTCAAGTACAAAAATGGGCTGTAGTTATTCATATTATTATTTTATGTTCAAAGTAAATTACACTGGATATGTTACGTTATATGTAACGAAATATCTATCATAAAATCAAATTACCTTTGAACAAAATTAATTTACCTATATCCAAAGTTCCCAACCCATATAGGTACTGAATTACTCGTATCATAAAAAATATTATTAAATTGAATAAAGAACTGTAAACAATCAGAACTTATTAGAAACAATTGTGTATAGTAAAATTATATTATAAATTTATTTTTATATTTGATTAAAGTTTTAAAACTTTTTTTACTTTTTATTAAAAAAATTATTACTATAACATAAAATATTATATTTTGTCCACTTATTAAGTCATTATATAGATACCAATAGTCAAACTATTCATAAAAATATTGCTTCAATATATAAAGTAAAATCTATTGTTATAACAATAACTATAATAATAGAAATACAAAAAACACTCTTTTTATAATTATTTTCATAGCAATTATAATAATATAACACTTTTATATTTGGTAAATTATGGCAGGTTTCGAGTACATCCCGTCAACAAGCAGATCGTAGTAATATATTTGTTACATTTTAATTCAATGAAAAATTATATGATTTATATACAGTTCTGGTGTGATAGACTCTATTTCAAATTAAAGATATTTTATAATTTATTCGTACTTATATTATTATAAGAAGTTTATTTTTCTATTATTAATACGGTTGGTTGGACTAATTCTTGAAAGAAAATCAAATATATATTAAAATAGTTGTTCGTAATATTATAATATTATTGGTGATAACTATAATAAGCCAGTATATTGAAGTTCCATAAAATGGAATGTGTATTAGATTTTGTTGTTTAGGTTTTACAAATTGAAATTAGTAGTAACAAACCAGGTTTTTCGTGAATTAATATTATAAAACCACAATACAGGTAAAAACCGTAAAATGTGCATAAAAACATACATGTTTACTCATATTATATGTTTATAAATTTTACTGTACGTAATTTCATTATTTATTTATTTTTAAATATTATCTATTTATACTACAAATTAATTTTTACTTTTTACAGTATTCACCGAAATATGTTGATACATTTTAAGTTACATAAGTTGATATAATATGGTAAAAATATATATTATTACAATAATTAATATTAATATAAATAAATATTAATATTAATAATACAATAAATACAATATCTTAGGAAAAATATATCAACCTATCGTAATATAAAAACTAAAATAAATGATTGTATATATGAAATATTGTTTGCGATATAAGCTGATAGACTGTCTCCACTCAGAATCGTTTTTTATATTGAATGATATATCATTGAATTCATATTTAACACATTTATAAAGTAATTCATTTCAAAATTTTATAAAGCAGAGTAATACTCCTTTTATACCTTATTTTATTGCATTTTTCAAAAATTCAATTAAGATAATTGGATTTAATTATTGAACTTTAAAAAAAATGTTTTAGCATAGATAATGATTTCTTCTATACATTGTGAAAATTTGGCATTTTGCTGATTCTAAAACACTTTGGTTTTAATTTGAACTATTTAATTTAAAAATTAAAAAAATATATTGAATATGTTACCCAAGTCCCATTAGAAGATTAGTGCATTCTGTTGCAGACCATAACGTGGTTTCGTTTTTCTAGGTAGCATCCTCTTTAACAATTTTTACATAACCTAATATAACCTAATAAGTTTAACAAATACCTATGTAAAATATTACTATTTAAACATTCCTTTAACTTGATTGAAAATCAAAACGCCATAAAAACCTCAGATAGAAAACATTAATGATGTTTGTAATTGGTTAATTCATTCTAATATCTAATATTAAAATTTACTGCATAAAACTGAAATTGCTGAACACTTATTATTTTTTATGGTGTCCATTTGTAAGACGGAGGTTAATACAATGATGTGTTTGTGACTTTATCTTAATGAATCTGATTTTTAGTTATGAATTACAGAAAAATAATGGGAACAACTATATTATGTGTTTTTATTTTAGAATTTTTTAATTAAGTATTATTTGTAATAAATTATCAAATATCAAATGCTATGTACGCATGGATGCAAAGCGGTAAACAACGTGTGTAGATACATATTTAATTTCACACATCTCCTTTTATGTAAAAAACAAGTTTATCATAGTACTATACTACATATTTTTAAATCTGCTTAATTTTTAAAAATACTGAGTCACAACTCATAAACGATTTAAAAATTCACGCCGCCATTATCAGATATACAATATCAATCCACCAAACTAATTATTTTTGTCTGTAATCTGTATCAAGACTAGGGTGACCATATTTAAAAAAAAATAAAAAAATTGGACAAAAATAATAATCATAATATTTTTAAATTAATATTTATTAAATTTTTTTTATTAATTTTTAATTGTGAAAAAATATAATTTTTAAACTATTAAAAATTAAAATTTAGTCACATAAAAATATTATTTTGAAAAACATAAAATAACATAGTTAAATTAAATTAATACTTTTTAAAATTTCCTTTAATCATGTATTTTAGTATTTTACTTAAAAAAAAAAAAAAAAAAATGTTATTTGTAGAAACGGTACCGAGTCATTTAACTCATTATTTATATGTTATTAATTAATTGTCAGCTGTTGATTTGAAATGGTAATTCAAGGCGGGCAGTATGTCATGTACGTAATTGAATTTAATTATTGGATATCATATTTTCAATTACGAGAGAGTAAC